TACTTTCAATCATTTCTATATTCTTGCGTATTGTTTGCATTTTGTAGCTTATTGTACATTCAAATTTTCTATAAATGCATAAAGATCCGCAGTCTGCTTATAATACAGTCTAGTAAATATGAAACCACTTGTTCTAAAGCTTTTCCGATCAGTTACCTTTTATTTTATAATTTCTGTAAAAATTCATGGATCGATTTGAAATTTGCCAAAGTGGTTACTTATAATTAGACTGCGGATCTTATGCAAAATAAAATATTCGCGAACGTGGCTATGAAGATCGAACCTAAATAGAAATTTATTTTATTTTGCAAATATTATAACATGAACTTTACTTTCAATCTTTTCTATATTCTTGCATATTTGGTTGCATTTTATAGTTGCTTGTACATTCAAATTTCCTATATAAATGCATAAAGATCCGCAGTCTAGTAATAAATATAATTCAGTCAGGTAATATGAGAGATAAGCTTTGTTAAATTTCAGAAATCGATGCAATCTCTAATAACTCTAATAATATTGCCCTCTATAAGTCACGCATAAAATTTCCAATTTACTACTGATTTTCTCCATGGCGCCAGTTCATACGAAGAAAGTAGGAAATGTAATAATTACATCTCGATTTAAGCAGCAATTTAACAAATACTTTAAGTAATCTTTACTGTTTCGTTTCGAGTAACCAGCGTCTCCAAGCTGAGACTGCACCGTTTGCTGGCGTGTTTCTTCCTGAAGTACCGAGTTTTTAAGGTTGGGGAAGGAAATGCGTCGGCCCTGAACCACAACCGACCAATAAGGAGCACCTGCTCCGAGACCAGGAGACGTTACCAGCAACGAGCAATGCATACCTATGTATTTTCTCTGGCCAGTTGCGTTCCGGGCAAGCGGATACAAGGGCCCAGTGATTCTCATTTCTCTGACAATTTAAGGGAAGAAACGACATCAGGAGAACAAATATTAAGTGGTCTCTACGTGTTTTTTTTTTTACAGAGAAAAATTTATTTAATTTTTCGTAACTTTGAGAATACTTTACTATGGGCATGTTCACATTAAAATCTTCGAGGTTGAGAGAGTTTAGAGGTTGTTTTCTATAACAAGTTTGCGCAAGAGAGTTTTACAAAATAAAAATATTACTCTTTCATAGTTCTAGTACATACAATAAATTAGGATTAGATGTTTATCGTGTTTATTTATACAGAGAAAAATTGAACAAAATTCTGTTTAACTTTATTTTAGGTATGTTTTAAAGTGCATTTAGTAATTTTTCCAATTTATTTTGTATTGAAATCTTTGAGGTATCAAGCTTGTTTCCTATAGCAAGTTTTCGCAAGAGTCTAGTGCTATTGAGAATTCTGGATGTCGCAATACAAAATGAATGAAATTTTGTTGTCTATAATCTTAACGTGTTTTTTTAAGAATATAAACTAAACCGAGGTTACAAAAGTTGAAAATGGATTTTTTTTAGGAGTGTTTAAAGAAAAAACATCAATTTTCACCATTTTCTGAATCATTTTCACCAAGCTTTTTGAAATAAAAAACGTACTTTGAACAATGATATTATTTCAATATTTTAGTTCGTATTCAAAGTAAGTAAGGGTATTTCAGTTTTTAAGGTATCATTGCTACGGATTGGAAAAAAAAATGTAATTTAAAAAGAAAATGCTATATCTCGAAGATTTCTCTGCGAAATGAATAAAAAAAAAGTTGCCAAACGGATTTTAATAACATCTAAAATATTCTCAAAGTTATAAAGACATTGCATAAATTCGTCTATATAAAAAAAATATTCCAAGCAACATTTAATATCTGGACTCCCAATGTGGTTTTCTGCCTTTTTGGAGTAAAAAAATAAGTCATATTTGCGATTTTTTTTTTCACAAAGTACTGGTTCCAAAGAGTTTTAATTTTCCATGATTTTATCGTTGGTTTATTCAGAATGAATGTGTATCTTTGTGATTGAAAAACATGGAAATTTTCTAATTTATAAGCTGTTATTTATAGACATGTAAAATAAACAAAGGTGTAGGATTTAAATGTGAATTCAGGTCCCGCAAAATTTTTGAACCTGGTCTCGTAAAAGGTTACGCCGGACCTGCAAGAAACACTTAATATTTGGCCTTCCTAATCTCCACAAAAATCAGCTACTAGTAGTCATCGAAACAAAATTTTGAAACTTTGCACACTGTTTAGTTTTAACTAAATTTTTTTAGGTTGCATCAACAATAACGACCCACAACGATCATTAGCAACCAGAATTGTATAAATACTTGGGCTTAACCCAGTGTCAAACCGTACGTGGAAATACAAACATACATTTCGGTAGTAGATTATACATATAATAGATAGTATACAATAGATTTGAATTCTATTTGAATAGCTAACAATAAATTCCTAAAAAATTTCGATGATCGAACACTTGGCACTTTTATTTATGCCTGATTCAAGGAAAAGGAAGATGGATGACAACTTTGGGTCGAGAAAAATATGTTCGGTTGGCAACAGCCTCGCTATTGTCGATAAATTATGGTTTCGGGAAACCGCGTCTGTCCCGACATATGTGTCAGGAAACAGCTGATTTTTCAAGAAAGCGGCAGCTGGAAGTCGCTTAGGTATGCCGAACGAAGTCGTGCGTGTTTTCATTACAGGCTACGCCGCTATGTCCCATTATGGTTCATAGCGACCGCGTTTCATGTTGAGATCAATCATTAAATCGATCGTTGAGTTAGATACTTATTGATCTTTCTAGCGGTGGGTTTCATCGGTTGGGTTTTCTAGTGTGACCCTCTGAGTAGCGATCAGAATGAACGACGCCATTGAACCAAGAAGCGGAAGTGACCATTCCAACGTCAAAATTCAAACGGGTTTAAGTATGAATCAATATATCAATATACCTGATACTTGAGTTATGTCATAACTAGACTGCGGATCTTTATGCATTTATAGGAAATTTGAATGTGCAAACAATGTCCAAAATGCAAACAATATTCAAGAATATAAAAAAGATTGAAAGTAAAGTTCGTGTTATAATATTTACACTGCGGTTCTTTGTGCATTTATAGAAAATTTTAATGTAAAAGAAACTACAAACTGGAAAAAATATGCAACAATATAAAAAATATTGAAAGTAAAGTTCGTGTTATAATATTTGCACTGCGGATCTCTGTGCATTTATAGAAAATTTGAATGTAGAAGAACCTACAAAATGCAAACAATATGGAAGAATGTAAAAAAAGATTGAAAGTAAACTTTATGTTATAATGTTTGCACTGCGGATCTTTGTGCATTTATAGAGAATTTGAATGTACAAGAAGCTACAGAATGCAAAAAATATGCAAAAATATAAAAATAGTGAAAGTAAAGTTTATGTTACAATATTTGCACTGCGGATCTCGGTGCATTTATAGAAATAAATTTCTATTTAGGTTCGATCTTCATAGCCACGTTCGCGAATATTTTATTTTGCACAAGATCCGCAGTCTAATTATAAGTAACAACTTTGGCAAATTACAAATCGATCCATTAATTTTTACAGGAATTATAAAATAAAAGGTAACTGATCGGAAAAGCTTTAGAACAAGTGGTTTCATATTTACTAGACTGTTACACAATAAAATAATTGAAATAAAGATTTGAATTTTTTAGGGGTCCTTCTTATTATTATACGTAGACTGCGGATCTTTATGCATTTATAGGAAATTTGAATGTGCAAACAATGTTCAAAATGCAAACAATATTCAAGAATATAAAAATGATGAAAAGTAAAGTTCATGTTATAATATTTGCAGAATAAAATAAATTCCTATTTAGGTTCATTTTTTGTAGGGACGTTCACGAATATTTTATTTTGTATAAAGATCCGCAGTCTAGTCACAACTAATTGCTAGTATGTATGTATGTATGAGTGTTAGTACGTATATACAAGTGTTGCTATTGAATGATATTAATATTAAGTTACAGTTAAGTGTAATGAAATTGTATAACTAATATAAACTTTGTAAAAAGTTTCAAAGGCTAAATAAATGAAAAGAGAAAAAAATATATCATATTATGATGACTTTCGTATTCTAATGCTTCCAGGGTCTTAAACGCTTTGGAAATAGCTAACAATAAATTCCCTAAAAATTTCAGCTCTTTATCTCAATTCTAAGTATACAATTCTTAGTTTGCAATAAGTGTTCTGAAATGGAAAACACTGAAAAATTGAATTACATGAGATTTCTTGAGGTCAGAAAACACACTCAACATTTATATTATCACATTAATTGCAACATTAAATTTTAGTTTTATAAAGTCTCAATTGTAATTTGGCCAAGGTTAGTATGCAATCTTTGAAATAATGATAATGATATAAAATTATCAATTCCCTTCTTCGTTCATGTCCCTTAAAAATCATTGAAGTATTACCAGGCAACCAGGTATAAACAAGCTGAAAAATACATGTCCCACTAGGGTCAACAAATTACTAACAAATTGTCTATTATCCAATCTAATTCCAATATTTCAAAAGATACATTATATACCTTTAATACTTCAATGATTTTTAAGGGACATGAATGAAGAAGGAAATTGATAATCTAAAATCATTATCATTATTTCAAAGATTGCAAACTAACATTGAATGTTCAAGAAAAGTTAATTGTGTAAATAGTAGTTCTAGGTTGTCCTCAAATCAGAAGAGACAATCAGTTTTTGCATTAATTTAATCGCAACATTAAATTTTAGTTTCACAGTTATAATTATTACCATAAGAGTGAAGTTTGGATTATACTGGTAAAGGTAAAGGTGGTTACAAATGTTAATTGTATAAATAGTAGTTCTAGATTGTCCTCAAATCAGAAGAGACAATCAGTTTTTGCATTAATTTAATTGCAACATTAAATTTTAGTTTCACAG